GTGTGTGTGTGTGTGGTGTGTATGTGTTTGTTTTACTTATATATAAATATATATATATGTGTGTGTGTGTGTGTGTGTGGGTGTGTGTATAGCTGAAAATCATAGAATCTGTGCGGCATTCGCAAAATAACTCACTTGCCCAACTACACTACACCGCAGTGCTTAGGCTCGTGTGCGCGCATTCACGTCTTCTCAGACGAGATGCTGCAGCAGAGCCCCACTCTCTTGACCTCGCCGTTCGAAGCTCTACACACACCCCGCCTTTTCGACAGCGCCGTCGAGGCCATCTGTGGGCTACTGCAAATGACCTACTACAAGATCAACCGCTACCCAAACACAATCAACGCTATGATTCAGCAAGTCATGGCACTGGGCCCTGTGTACTCGCAGGCACTGGGTGGGGGTGAGGAGACAGCGGAGAAGGCGTTTGGCCTAGCCCGGGTGTTCTGTACGCTCAGTGAGTGCTACATAGACCTGATCCTGGAGAGTGTCGAGGGCGCCAGTGTGGTGCAGATGATGGTGTTGGTGGCGTCGAATGCCGAGTCGCGCACGTGTGAGATGACGTTCAACTTCTGGCACGATCTGCTTGACCGCCTGCTGCGGGATAGGGATCAGGGCGCTAGAAGGTGTGTGCATTTGTGGGTGGGCGGAAAACAGTTATACGCATGCAATTGTGTGGTTGAAAATTCGGTTTACATGGATCTCGAACTACGAACAATTCTCGTGTCCACAGTATATATGTGCATAAAATAACAGAGCAGCTGTTCATCGACACATACACAAGCATGCGTTATAGGTATCGATTTATATTCACGCACACAGTTTAGTATTCCAATGTGACAACAGACATACAATTACTACAAATGTCTCATATCTATAATTTCATTGCCATCCCCACGGGCCCGCTCGTACGCCAATATAATTCTTTCATAACACCTTATCACCCGAACCTGTATCGGTGACCAACCCCTACACCCCTACAATCGTACCACTCAGGAGTTCTGGCCCAGAAATAGATGAGCAGTACACAGGGCCGTTGCGGGAGCACTTCCAACAACTCATACAGCACCTGACACAGCACATCACCTACACGGATGATAGCGAACCCTTTGACCTCTTAGACGACGAAAATGACCACACGCACTTCAGGAAATCCGCCGCCTACCTTATAAAGCGCGTGTCGGTGCTTCTGGGGCCGATGGCTGTGATGTTCCAGATAGTGGACTTATATCAAGAGGTCCTCACGCATGCGTTGGAAGCGTGTGGAGCTGCGAGTAACGGGAGCGCGGCCTGGCGCCAACTGGAGGCAGTGCTGTATGTCAGTGCAAACGTGCTGCAAAAGGTTAATTCTCGAGAGGAGCTTGTGATTCCTGATTTATTGTCCGTAGTGCGCAGCCTGCTAGACACGTCGCAGGTGAATGGTGACGGAATAAGCGTTATTCCGTCGCCTATCCGCAGCAGCAGCTTGCTGGTGCTGGCCAATGTAGCCCATTGGCTGCGCACACACAGTCAGTACACATCCACAGTCATAAGCATGGCGTGTGCACACATGCAGATCATGCCCAGTGTATGTACCGCAGCAGTGGGGGCCTTTGTGCGCGTAAGTCGGCCGTGTTCCCGAGAAGTCCTCCCGTCATTAGACCAGATTATCGGCTCCACCATGCAGCACTTCGATACGTTTGCAGTCACCAAGACGCTCTCACGCGATGATGTAAACGATCTGTATGGGGCGTTGGGGTATCTGCTGGCGGATGTGAAGCCTGCCAACCACGTGACCCAGAGAGTGGCGCTGATAATACAACCGGTTCTGGTAGCTATAGACCAGTCACTGCCAACTGGGGCTCAGGCTAATAATGCCTCGTCCACGTCACCCAATGTCGGCTTTCTACTGGACCGGATTACGTTTGTGTTCAAAGAGCTGAAGAATCTGCGGTGGCAGGAGCCGAGTGACACGGTCGGGGCTGGTACCGGTTTAATAGCGGGACAGCAGCGGGCCCCGGCGAACATGCATCCGTGCAAGCAGATAGTGCAGCAGATGTGGCCTAATCTCGAGCGTATCTATACCGTATATCAGGCCCACGAACCCACCATTGAGAAGTGGACACGATGCCTCAAGGCCGTAATACTGTGCCTGGGCGCAGAAAGTAGTGTGGAGTTGGTGCAGCCGCTGGTCACCTGTTTAGTCGCCGGCTACACGCGCTATATGCATTCTCCCTTGGCTTACTTGGCTGTGCAGGTGGTGCGGTTATACAGCCCCATGCCCGAGTGTTATGAGGGTTTGTCACAGATCCTGTTCGCATACGTCACACCCACACTTGCACTCCTGCAACCCGCAGACACTTCCACAAATGCCCCAGGCCACCCGGAAGACCCTTTGAACACAACAAAAGACCCCTTCAACACACACCCGGATGTGGTAGAGGATTTCTTCCGACTGATGATGGAGTATCTCACCACCATGCCGGTGTTCTTTCTCACGTCGCAGGTCGCGTCGCCAGTGTTTCTCTGCGCGATCAACGCGCTCCACGGTTACCATGACGACGGGCTATCCACCACCAGCTACTTCTTGCGTGATCTGCTGTCGAAGTGCACCTCTGGAAAACGCCTCGAGGAACGCGCCGCTATATTGGGCCCCATTCACGCACTCGTGCAACAACACGGGCAAGTTTTGTGTAACACCGTCATCAATGCTATCGGGGGGAGTGTGCCTCTGAGACATCTGGATAAGGTGGCCTTTGTGCTGTACGATCTGCGGTGTGTGTGTAGTAGTGGTCAGTCGCCAGGCCCGGGTTCTACGGGTGAGCTGGTAACCAAGGAACACCTCAGTGCATGGCTGGAAAATAGCCTGAACGCTATCCCAGCACACTTGGTGAGCGAGACGTATAAACGAGAGTTTATGCTGCGCGTATTCTCGAGTCCGGACGAACGGGCACTGGACGAGGCGGCGTACCGGTTTGCGCAGCAGTTTGAGGGAGAGAATAAACTCATTGCATAATTGATGAGGTGATGCTACCTCTGGGAGACAATGCGATTGGCCGAATTGTAGAAATGCAACGATAAACTGAAGATTCCTATAGATACCCAGTTTTAAGATCGATTCTCGTTCCGGACGAACGGGCGGCACTGGACGAGGCGGCGTACCGGTTTGCGCAGCAGTTTGAGGGAGAGAATACACTCATTGCATAATTGATGAGGTGATGCTACCTCCGGGAGACAATGCGACGGGCCAAATTGTAGAAATGCAACGATAAACTGAAGATTCCTATAGATACCCAGTTTTAAGACCGATTCTCGTTGTGCACACTATACTACTCGATTCTTTGTTTCATAAAAGTAGATCGGTTGATATACAGCACTGTTCACGACTATATCGGACAAGCCCGACCAAAAGAAGTGTGGGTGTAAACAATTGACGTCGGGGCATATTCGTAGCCCTCCGTTGTCCTAGGTTTTCCCAAATTGATTCCAAATTAAGTGTATACTGGTGAACGGATGGTGAAATTAAAACGAATATACATGTAGTCGTATCGAAAGAAGCAGCATCGATCGGTGGCCAGATGTGTGAAATTCTTGTGTTTTGTCTACCTGTGAATAAATTCGTTCAGCAGAAAAGTGTATATTGGTGAATGGATGGTAAATAAAATTACATATACTCGTAAAGAAAGAAGCAGCATTGATCGGTGGCCAAAGCAGCAATATTATGGCCAAATCCCTGTCGTAGATATTATGCTGATGTGTGTAATTATATATTTTGTGTACCTTTGAACAAATATGTCAAGCAGAATTCTCATTTGAGTCAATTCGCACGACATTAGGCACAGTCTCAATGTGCGCACATATTTCCCTCAATCGTGGATAAATGCCGTACCAAAACAAATTGTTTCACTTCCATCCGACATTTCAAAGTGAATCTAAAAGTATTTTACCATCTCAACTAGAACCAAGGTTTGAGTATGTATGAGATTCCAAATATCTGTTTCGAGTGCACGTTCGGTTGTGTGTACAGAGGCAGCCTTGTTGCACCATTTTACCTGTTTGATACAAAAGATTGTATATATAGGAGCCGTGAATCAAAAAAATGGCTTTAGGAGATGGGAGATTATTACTATAGAGGTTGACCCAGAGGTACCTTAAACCCCAATCTCATTGGCAGTTAGGCATCTTGAATTCTCCGTATTCACGAGTAATAAACGTACGCTTAATCTCATCCCGAACGGACTATTGGTTCAAAAGTTATGAAGTATTCCATCTTGTACCAGAACTGGGTCAATCTAGCCACACGTAAGCATTATACAAGAAGCATACTACTTTAAAGGTATCTGGGGGATTATATGTGCGCGTATAGCTTGTATTTGGGGTACCTCATATCCTCACTGGTATAAATGGTACTAGATAGAATATGAGGTACCCGAAATACACGTCCAGACTCGCTATACGCGCACATATAACCCCCCATAGACCATTAAAGTAGTATGCTATATTGCCAGAAAGGTCTGTTATTGACTTGTATAATGCCTACGTGTGGCTAGATTGACCCAGTTCTGGTACAAAATGAAATACTTCCCAACTTTTGAACCAATAGTCCGTTCGGGATGAGATTAAGCGTACGTTTATTACTCGTCAATACGAAGAATTTAAGTTGTCTAACTGCCAAGGAGATTTATTTTGTAAGGTACCTCTGGGTCAACCTCTATAGTAAAAATCACCCCTCCTAAAGCCAATTTGTTTTGTTCACCACACCTATTAACACAACATGAACCAGCAGTTTTTTTCTTTGGTCAAAATTTAATTCAAAAACCTTTAACTTTTATCATCCAATCAAAATATTGATCGTCATTCATAAAGTCATGACTCATAAACACTAAAATAATCGTATGCATTTTTTAAAGCCCCTATTTTGTTATATAGAGTTAAATCAATTACACACCCACTAAAGGTCTGCCCTGGGTGTAACCAATGTCCGTATAACTACTGTATACTAAATCGTTAAAGAGTATATGCTCAGAATGTAACGAGTTAAATAAAGCAATTCTATTTGAAATCATTTGTATATATATATATAATATAGTTGTTCCCGTTTTACGTCAGAATCATACTAGAATATACAGCACTTCACTAAGATATAATCATGAGCTGCGAAGTCAAGAATAGAATCGTCTTCGGCAATCATGTATGTATAGCCCGAGAATAGGAGGTCAACAACTATCCCATGAGTGTGGCGCTGCTCTTTTGATTTATTATACGTCTCTCGAGGATGTTGAATTGGCTTGAACCTGGATTAGACCTTCACTTTGAAGTGATGTACAAATTGCAACTAACAACGTCTTCACAACATCTCGATATAATGAGGCTTGGCATTTCAAATATTGGTGCATTAGTGTATAGGCTTATAAAATGCATATTTGAACTGTATAGCAATACGTACAACTGTGGCACTGCCTCGTTCTCCATACGAAGTTCAATCATGTGATATTTCACTGTTGTATCTATTTCGCAATATACAGTTATTTGCAATCTTAGGTCAGTTGTTTGCAATCTCAGTCAGTAGACGAATTCTTTTTTCTCATACCTTAGCGTCGCACAGACTGTTCCCATATATAAGGCGCTAAATATCATTCTCCCATCCCTCGGGTTCGTGTGTATGTGTGTGTACACGTGTTATGCGATACGACAAGTTTATTGGTGCTACAAACATTGTATGCGCAGTGGTGCCCTTTCATGTGAATTAGTTCAAGTCGATAATCTACCACGCAGAAACGAGGTGTGGGTGTTAGTGACTAAGTTCACTACTTTCTCATTTGTATTCATTCGATTTGCTTCTCAATGCCACAGAAAGGAGGTGTGGGTAAGAGTGTGCTCTTGTTCCATACAGCTTGCGAGATTGCGAAGTCGAATCCTGACAACTATGTGCTCGTCATCGACTTTACAGAGCTCGGGGATGTCAGTAAGGTAAGTATCTGTGAGTGTGTGTCTACGTGGCCAGTACAATATTTCCAGAATAATTTAATCCCGGAACACCCCTATGAGATCGATCCGTATTGCCTTGCAGGAGGATGTAAGTGTATACCTACGTGATTTAGCTAGTTTAGACAGTGGTTGCTACACATACATGCCTTGCGCGGGATATGTTTGTGATGGTGGCATGTTTTCTAATATCCATGATATATTTAATAGGTTGTCTCTTGCATATTCCAATCATATTGTTCAATGTTTTGAAATGTCAATAGGTTCCAGTGCCCCTTTGACGTTCTCGCGTCAATATATCACGCACAGTGTTTGGATAAAGCGGTAGCAACATGTTAAGCAAGCTGCCGATATTTTCCTTGCCTGTCCAGTTATCAAAGTCTCATATTTTGTCAGCATCGCACACTGTTACAAGTCTTTCTGGGTGCGAACTTTTTACTCGTGTATCGTATAGTCAGTCTTTGTGGGTACTTCTCGATATTAATATGATTCTGTGGTTTGTTCAGAGAGAAGTAACTTGACATCAGTCAATTCGCTTTCAGCAACAAGTTGCCCTGTAGTTTAAATAATGTACTATCTCCATCTGTACCACAGCTATTCCTGGGCGGTGTCGGGAATGAGAGCAAGACAGACGAAGGCATCGGTCAGCAGAGACTGGCTGCCAATTGGAAAAGTGGGGTATGTTGATCGTATCTATTCTTTGTACAATGTTCACACACGACCGCTTCAACTTGTTTTAATTTAATTGACAGCACTAATCACTCTCTCGAGTCCGCATGTCGGCGCGGCTATTGTATCTTACTTCTCTAGTGATATCTATACAATTTAATGCATATCTGAAACTGAA